TCGGTGCACAGAAATGTTAAGCGGCTGCAAAGTAAATACCGTGGAAACAAGTCGATGTAATTACACTCTGGCAAGGCTGAGCACCTGCTCGTAGCCCGCCCGGGCGGAGGCTGCTCTGCTCATGAGGAAAGGGGATTGGCCGGGCTTGGGGGTCATGCCACACCAGCCGCAAGCCCACAAGTGCTCCACGTAGACACCAGAGACCGCAGGGGGCTCTGAGAGCACAGAGTGCCCCCCGTGTCAGTGCCAGTATGCCAAGGGTCAGCCAGTGTGGGAAGCTCTGCTCTTTGTGGATGATCTCCCATGGCGAGAGGCTATGGTCCCCACTCGGAAAACAGGGACCCCGTCCCCAGCTTCGGGGTCTGCTGGGGACTGTGAAGCCCATGTGTGTGCACACAGCTAATGCCGCGCACGCCCGGAGTTCCCTGGCAAGCACTCCTGTGCCCCTGCTTCCTGCCCATCAGCTCACTCGCCGTTCATTAGTTCTGCTCTATTTCACGTGTTTGCAATCGGTTTTAAAGCCTCACTGCCACAGCCACCACCACCACCGTGACCACATCAGCACTGCCACCAACAAAACTCTCGCCACCGTCGTCACCACCATCACCGGTTATCTGCACCACCACCAGCCACCACTGTCGGCATCACCATCACCACTGCCACCGCAGGTGACACTCACATGGCCCTCCTCCGCCACCGAGTCTGTGCTGGCTCAGAGCGACTCGGCGTGAGTTTCTGAGCGCGTCACGTTGTTCATACAACCCAAGATGGTGGGCTCTACCCAACATCTGCCACGGGCTGGACGCAGAGACAGGGGCAGCCCTGGCTTCCAGACGCAGGCCGCTGGGTCACCTGACACCAGGCCGTGCAGACAAGTGGTTCCACCAGAATATCCCCCCCGCACAGAGACCTGCTCTCAGGACCTGGTCACCCCGCAGCAAACCCACTCCCAGAAGCACCCTGCTGCGTCATCAAACACAGGCCAGGCCAAGGAGGGTCACCAGAGGTTTGGGGAAATCCCAGGGAGAGGGGGAGGGGAGGCTTGGGGGAGAGGCCCCGGACTAAGAAATACCAGTACCAGTGCCAGCAAGGTGGGAGCTGGCCCCAGTGTCTGGAGGTGAGCCAGGATGCTGGTTCGTACCGGTCCCTGGAGATGGCAACCTATGCACAAATGCGCTTGACACGCTGTGTGTATGGATGGATGGTGGTGAGAGTTGTGCAGGCCCCCAATAAAATGACTTTTAACAAAAGAAGAGGTGCCGGAGAGGCACACCCCACTGGGACTCTGCCGTCCTGGGGTGGCCGGGGTGCTGCCATGACGCTGGAAGCTAGGCCAGCAGGGCCGCCCTTGGCAGCCAAACCAGGGAGAGGGCACATCTCCCATCACAACAGAACGGCTTCCTGAGCCAGCGGTGCAATGGCTGGAGGCGGCCAGGGAGGAGGCCCTCCAGGAGAGGGGTGGGGGAACCACCCTGTGGGGCTGTGAGGATGACTGAGGGAGAGGGGAGGATGCAGGGAGAGGCAGAGAGGGGGTGGGAGAGCAGCAGGAAGGGAGGTTCAGCAGAGGACGAAGTAGGAGATACTGGGGGAGGAGAGGAGGAAGAAGGGGAATAGGAGGGGGGAGACAGGCCAGGGGGGAGGAGAAGGGGAGGGACAGGG